CATGTTATGTAACCACGAGAGACTGAGAACATAGCTATATTAACCGAGAATGATACCATTAATGTCATTCATTAAATATCAGCAATTTTATAATATAAGAAAATTTCAATGAAAAATTAAGGAAGCCATAATTATAATATATTCAACCCCGTTATACGCACTTCTTGTACAATACCAATTATAGAACAGTTACATTTATTCAAAGTTATTTATATAATTATATTTTTGTTCTCATCAGACTATTGTTCAAACATTAATTTGCTGGAAGTGCCTAAATTGCCAGTTCAAGTAAAAGATATCTTTTGTTGTTTTTATATACACGATTATTATTTACAAAAAATATAAATTTAGCAACATAAATCATGCGACGTTTTTTAGGACTTGACATATGATTTTAGCAAAATCATTCCTTGTCGGCTCCAAACACAATGCTAATTTTTATTGAAATATAAAATTATTAATACAAACGAAAAATATTTTGTATAATATGCTCTCATGCAATGTTAATAATTATTGTCGTTGACCTCTAATAACTGAAATTAATTTTAATTGCACTAGTAAAATTATAGTATAAGAAATAACATCACAAATTATAATAGTCTCATGAGACACATATTAACATTAACAAGATTGTTTATCGCTGCTATTAATTTCATAATGCAATATGTCATTTCTGCTAATATATGTTTATCTGCCATTAACTAAATTTGTGATGAAGATATTTATTACATTATTACGTGTAATCTTATCATATGCGAATTTAAACCTTCAAGCAAGGTTCACTAACACGAAAAAAGAAAAGTGAAACTGCATGATGTATTAATTTATTGTATTAATTAACTCTCTATTTCATAACATTGCAGAATATTTTTTACAAATACGCACACACACATGCATACATATATATATATATATATATATATATATATACCTATACAGTAGAAATCTATAAATCATAACGGTTCTTCAGCACAAATGTCATATTTCATAGCAATCGGAAGATAATTCAGCTACGCCCTTTTGTCTACTGTTAGTTGAGAGAATTAGAAAGTGAGAAATGGTCTTGTAAGTTCTTATTTATTATACCCTGTCATTTTCAATCCGACTTTTAAGCCTAATCATAACTTTATGACATACTTTGGTTTAAATACATTTATCGTGATTAGCCGAGTTCAACTGTTCAACAATTGTTTTCTTTTCTTTTGGTCTTGATGTTTTCTTAAACTTCGTTGTCAAACAATAATTAATTTGGGGCGAAATGGTATTTATAGAGGTTAAGAAAAACCTTATTATAACTTATCTAATGTTCTATGGCATTATGCTTTAATAGATATAAATTCAATAAAAAATATTTAATATAAAAAAAATGGCAAACCGCATTAGAATGGATGGTTGACTCGATTCATCTACATTGTAGTAGATACATATATAGTGTGGCCCATTTAAAAATTGGATTTTATCGATAGCAACTTGCCTGTAGGCCACACCGTGCGGAATTCGAAGTTGCGATATATGGAAAAAAAACTAGGAGACCTTTCTAAAGATGTATAATACTTTATATGTTTTCTTTACAGAAATATCTAAACCGTAAGATCACTAGATCACTAGAACCACTAGATGGACAACCCGTTATCAAATAATTTAGAAATGCATATTACAACACACATATTTTTTTCTTAATACTATAATTCTAATTTATTGAGAAAAAATATTGTATTGTAAATTATCATCCACTGTAATTCTGATATCATCTAAGGAGAGATAGAAAATTAATCAAAATTTACCTTAACGTGATTAACAACATATGTATGTACTTATACATATTTATATATACACATATACTTGCATATGAAATATTTAATTTCATATGCGAATTTATTTATTTCACAGCGAAATAGATATAGTATTCTATGCAACTCACTTTTATATTCATATAACATAAAACTATTCAAAAATATAAACAGAACTCATAATTGATATTGCTATATCATTTGAGACCTCAAAATTTTAATATTATCAAAAAATATTGTATAATTATTTAAGGCAAAATAAAGATAAAAAAGAAACTCAATCTTTGGACTGATTGCAGCAAGCACGAATTCCGCCAAATTTTTATCGCTTGCAATTTTAGTTTCGTAAATATAGATAAATAAAATATAGATAATGAATTATAGTAATTAATTATATAGTGATAATTGATAGAATATATTTATTCAGGCGAATAAAATCCACGATAAAAAATGAAAATTATATTCCCAAAAACTTGCTAAACATTATACGCAAAGAGCTAATATATATATCAAGCAATAATGTGTTTTTGAAATTGGTTGAATACTTTATTTTATTTGAATTCATATCTGAATCCAAATAGAAACGGTTAAAAAACTTCATTGCCGTAAACTATTTTATTTCTATATTTTTAATATAGTTTTTATTTTTTCAACAAGCAGAACCTAATAGCTCTTTGAGCTGTAGTGATAAATATTTTTATTCTTCGCTGTTTTAGAGAGCAAACCAAAAGTTGGCCTATCTCTATTTAATAGATTTTATTTCTTAAATTTCTCTAAATTTGAAACAGCAATGTTAAAGGAAAGCCATATTGTCTTAAAAACATATTTATATTTATATTTTTAAGAGAAAACCAATGTAACTTCTGAACCTGAACTTTGGGTTGCAAAGCTAAAGCTCTTACCGCGAAGCCCAATAGTCTTATCAGTAAACAGTAGTTTTTCCGAATGCAGTTATATAAGTTCTCTTCCCGTTATTTATTTTTCATTACTACTTACTCTCTTAAATTAAAAAAAATACCAGTAAATATTAGAAAACAATCAGTAAACACTTGTTACTGCAAATAAAATGTAATAATTTTCGTTTTGTAGTGATGAATATTATACCGTTAATACAAATAATAACAGTAGTGCTAGGTAACTGCTTTCAGAATCTCTGCATAATTATTAATTTAGTTGGGTGAATACAAGATTAAGTAGATAAAGAATCGTGGAGAAAGATCTATGTTTTCATCCGTCTCTAACCATATCACGATAATAAACAAACGTGTATTCGCCAAACTAGTTATCATCATTATTAAGCCTACCCAATTACAGTACTTAGTCTGAAAACGGCGAAAGTATTCTGTAACGCTTCAGATATGAATTATGAATATGTTATGTCTAATTCTATATCTGTGCATTATGAAACGTAATTTACAACATTTGAATTGAATTACCATGCTCCGCCGCCCAAATGGAGTAGCAACAATAACGAACGAGTGCGTGTTATGGTTGTTTAGAATGCTTTTTTATTTCCTTTATTGCGGAAATTGCTCGATTTTGTATGATGTACGTGACGAATGATAAACGCTTCAAACAACTAGCAAAATATATAAAATAATGCCATTATGTTTGTTACGCAAATCTATTATGTGAAAAAAATGGCATATGGTAAAAAAGAGATACATCATTTTTGTTAATGTTAAGTGAACACTAAAAAAATCACAATTGTAAAGTTAAAAAGTTTCACATAAAAGGAAAATTTCAAGATCGCATGAATGCATATGTTGAATTAAAAAATGTTAAGTACGTTTTCTCAAATATTCTCAAATATTCTAGCTTAAATTGATATTGTCAAAAGCGTGAACATCTCGAAGAAAATCGTAGACAACTATATTGGCTGCTGGGTCATAAATCTAAAGTGTCGATGCCAAACAAAACCCGAATCAAACAAATCCTTTCTGAAACCCATCTGGACATATGGCAACCAGCTTTGGTGTACTGCCAGCCAATCAAATATCAAGATCTTGCAGAGGTTTCGGAATAAATTGCTTAGGCAAATCGCCAATGCACCAAAATACACCCCCAACTGGCTTCTCCACGACGAATTGGGAGTTACATTTATCAAGGAGGAGATTACCAGACATAGTATCAAAACAGGCTCACCGCCAACTCAAACATCCTTGCAAGAAAGTTGCTAGACCAAACACGCCTTAGAAGATTGAAAAAAATCCTAATGACTAGTTTTTTTAGGTTTAATTATAAGTACAAACTTTATTTTGCTTTCCTCTGCTTTAATTGACAATCTAAATCTAAACACTGTTAAGAACTACATCTAATCTATGGATGCAATTCTTGTTTTTACTCTGTAGCCCTCATATTTATGAGTAGATTTGTTTTGACAATGGATAGAATTATTGATTGTTTTAAGTCAATCATAATTAATATTCTCTACAAAATACATATAGAAATAGGTATATTATGTTCAAAAAAAATTTATATTGAAAGAATAATACGGAATATCAAATACGGATGAAGGAGTATAAAAACAGAGTAGTGAATATATGCAATCTACATAATATTAGTTTTCAGTTTAGATTTATCATATAAATAAGCATCAGAGCACCTCTGCTCTGAATAAAACTAAATTTCTTAAGAAATTCTGCGAACCAATGGACTTCATCTGCAGATGAAGATGCTTTAAAATTTAGAGTCTCTAAATGAAGGCGTAGTACCAAGTCTCATATATCAAGATATTAAATTTATGCATTCTTCAATGTGTTTGAATTTTGACTTTACTTGTTATCTTTAAAAATTGCGAACTTATTTTAATTTAATAAGGTAAAATTCTGTAAATCTGATATAAATCTAATCTAAAGTTTTCGATTTCTAAACCAAATTCTATTGAGCTAAGCTATTTTTACTAATTCACGATATAGGAATCTTCTGAAAAAAAAATTACGATATGACGAATATATAGAGCTATAGTATCGCCTATATTATATTTTAATTAGACATTTATCTCATTAACGATTATCTTTATGCTCATTTGATGAGTATTATTTTACTAATAAAATTCCTCATAAAGATAAAGCGTATCAAATAAGGTAGCGAAAGCTGCATCAAACTTTAGGCTTCATGATTTAAATATGATTTATAATCTAAATGTAGTTTTAACTATAAAAAATATTTATGATCCGAATGATAAAAGAAATACAAATAATAACTCACCTGGTGGCTGCCTTTCTGATAGAAGAAGAGCTTCGAGCCTTGAATCTGCACCCACATTGTTCGCCATGATCTTCCATGTGTTCTCTGAAATAAATGCATTCAGGTATTAAAACAATAATTACAAGTTTAATATTTTTATTTAATTAAATAATGATGGCTATTTAATAATATTTTTACCTTTTTATCTAGCGTGATGATCTTGATCGAGAGAGGACCTTCTTTATCCACAGCTTTGATCGCATTTTCTCCACTGGTAAAAATTCAAAATAATTTGTTTAATAATAGTCTTGAAATTTAATTGGTCAACAATTGCATTAATCAAATTAAATAAATACGTTATTTACATACACAAATGTTAATTTCAATGAAAGATCATATGCCAAAATGATCAGAATTGGGATTGTAATATTATGAACAATTTAAATAATGTTATAGAACATTAACATGTACAAATTTTAATGTATATAAATAACTTTCATTCTTATCATACAAATTTAAGCTATATACATACTGAGATTTTCTCATTTTCATGAGAACTTAAAATTTTCAGAAAGCATACAGGATTGCAGAAACTACAAAAATCATGCAACGATGCATAACTAGCGACAGAAATATGATAGAAATATTTACACATATACATCTACATCACATACAAACCCTCTAAAATTAAAATATAAATTTAAATTATAATACAAATTCCAACGTAATATATAACATGCATTGATAGCTAAATAAATCGTGAAACATATTAATTCTAAATAAACTTTGTTTCATGAAGAAGTAAAAACAAACAAAAATTTTTTGTACGTTCTAAAAGTCAGAACCAGGTAAGTTTGATATTTAGAACTGACACGTATCAAAAATTGGATTGTGGAATCTTGAGACGCATTCGTAAAAACAAATTTGGATTAAGACAAAATACATAAATATAAAAATAATTACTCAAAATTCGTTCGAGCATTGGGTAAGTATAAAAACCAACAAATCCTTTTGTTTGAAAATGTAAGATTAATTAAAAATTTAATTACAATAAGGCAAAAAATGTCGATGAAAATGCAAAATAATAAATCGAATTTTAAAATAATTATAATTTCTAATTTCAGAAAACTATAAGAATGCCCATATATTTTGATATCGATAAAGCTTACAAAATACCCGAACGACATAAAGTAAGAAAGTAAAATTCTTTATAAAAGCCGAAAATTCAAAGAGAATGTAGTATTGGAAGACATAGACACCTCCTAGTTAAAGCACGTTCTCTATTATGTTGTTCCTGGGCAGCCTGGTGCTCTTCGAATAATCTTCGTAGTAGCTGAATGTCTCCTGGAAACAATGGAGGTCGCCAACGTCGATGGGCGCTGAAACACCATAACCACACTCGTACCACAGAAAATAGAAAATATAGGAGCATCGAACCGAAACCAAAACAGTTCGAAAAGGCAAGAAATAATATTTATATATACAATGTTGAAAATACACACAACGACAAATATGTTATAACAGCTAGTTTACTGGCTAAAGATGAGACCTTCCTTCATATTGAAATGAGTATTATATTTAATGATTTTGCATATTAATAATTTTTGGCCCGTCGTTAAAAAATATTTCTAATTTAATTATGTGTGTGCTCAGTTTATGTGTTTGATAAAAATTTTAACCTTCCAGACTATAAGACAGTTTATTAACTGAAAGCGGAAATGTATGAAGAAAGATATTGCTGAAATTCATACCATAATACAACCATCCAGTAATAAATTTTAAAGTAAATTCACTACTGAAGAATAATAAAGATGCTTTTCAATCAGTAAAATAATTATTTTTGGTCGCTTTGCGCACAAAATTGCTATTCTATAGTAATTGAGAATCAATGACTTATTTAACATTAAAAATATAAAACATACATCTTTATGCTTGAATATTTGAAATGATGAAGTATGAATGAATCTGTTAGATCCTTAAGTTTTTTATGAAGCTTAAAACCTTACTTCATCATTTTTCTTTCCTGGACATGCCGGCACAGAGCATGACATTACAACTAAATGATATATGTATAGTATGGTATATACAACTGAAATGAATACATATAATATGTATACCTTGCATAAAAGATACAACAGTAAGTTTGATATATTTACAACTGATGTATTTGACGAATCCACAACCACCGTTATAACATACCTTTTCCACCCTTTTTCAACATATCTTAAATCAAAAACTTACCTTTGTAGTTGTTGAACTTGAGGATCACGCATAATGTCAGGGTCTAGATCACGTTCTTTATTGTGGTAATCCATAGTACTATCATCAACTGCATTATATTAAACAAAACATATGAGCGATATAAATTATTGTATATGAATAGATATTGGAAATTCAAGATACTTACCAGCAACACTGTGAACCTTTTTCCTTCTCACGACACCATTTATCGCAGCCTCATTGGTCATATCTGATAGAAAAAAAATAAAAACATTAACTTATATATAACTATAAACCAAAGTAAACAAATTACGCAAATCAAACATTATGTAAAATTCAGATAAAGAAATAATATAGGTTTCTCAAGAGTATTCTACACATGTCGAAAACATTGATACTTGACAACTTGAAAATTTATTAAATCACTAATTACAACAAATTATTATATAATTTAATAATTTTTAACATGGGAAAATGAGCAGTTATAAACTCAAAATTTATTATATAAAAATAAAAAGCAATACATACCTCTATCAATAGATGTCGAGTCTAATGGCAGGTGAGTAGGTCTGGGAGGAGCAGACATAGGCCTTTCCAAAAGTTCTTCTGTCGGTTCAACGTTCATTTTCATTAAATCCCTCATACGTGGAGGTTTTACTGGAGGCGTGCTATTACCTTCTGAAGGTATTGTCTCATAAATGGCTTCCGATGATGCACTTGATGCCACTGTTTTTGACAATAATTCATTGTCATTAATGACTTGAATGCGTAACAAAAAGATTAGTAATTGTTATTAGTACATCCACATCCTTTACAATAACTAATAATGTAAAACGTGGTATTAAAACATCAGTACTGAACGTTTTGCAAGTGCTTTTTTTGATGTTTAATCCGAATTACCCTCTTTATAACTAGATATAAGTAATCATTAACGTTTTCCATGTAACTAGATGTATTAAGTACAACTTAAGTTGTATAGGGATTTATTATAAATTTTAATCAAACTGGATATTCTTTATAATACTTGTCAAGAAAAAATCTTTAGCCACTTCGGTACGAGCGACAAGTATACTTGACGGCCGCAGAATGCCCCACACAGTCGGGCGTCACGTTTAGTGGACGTTGCATGCCGGCTGTGAGCGAACAATAGGCGCCGTAACGAAGTGGTTAAAGTTTAAAATAAACATGTGGAAATCCGTCACCCTTCAGCTGGGAAATCGGTTATTATACACAATGCCAATATCAGTATTATCATTTTTGTATGCATAGCAATAAAACTTTTGCTACAATAGTAAATACCAAACAAATCAAAAATAAATCTTTATAAAGCAAAATAAAATATGTTTAATCACTTACCTGCAGGTTCCTTTTGGGCAGCTATATATGACTCAGGGCGTATTCGATGTGATCGCCTCGACTCTGTCGTCGTCTGAGATTCAGCTGAATGGGAACGTACACGCATTTGTACAGCTTCCATAGGACTCTCTATCATAGAACAACAAAAATATTAAAATGCATTCAAAAAACCCTAGCAACCTAATTTGCAATTAGGATTTTAAAATTCAAACATCCAAAATTTCCATGGGCAGCTGTGAAATAAAGCTTTTGCTGAGTAGACACATATATAGGCTTTTACTAAAAATTACAATAAAAATGCAAGTTAGAATATATACGTGTCACATTCTATTTTTCAAATGCTGTTAAATACAAGACCAGACACAAAATAGATTTATCAAATCCTAATACTAAATGCATCCTAGTTCATCGGTGCACAACATTGAGAATGGCCCTGCGGTTATTTTTAATTAAATATAGAAACATAAAGAGCGACATCATATTAACATAAAAGTTCTGCCCTGCACATTCACATATATCACTAATCTACATTTCTCCCATGCAAAACAGTGTGATAAGCTTTCGATAAATTCTTGGGTATATTAAAAAATTTCACTCATATGGAATTTTCATGTTTCTTTAATAATTCAAATAATTTGCTGTGCCGAAAGAAAAATACACCCAACGCCAAAAATCCTAATTTGCAATTCATATATGATTTCTTGCACGTTACCATTTATCTGGAAAAGTTATTTCATCATGCATTGCAGCGCATAGAAATCAAAATATTGGTGTTTATACCAAAATATCAAAAAAATCTATCACGGCAACATGTATCAGTATTAACTATTTTTTAAATGTTTTCGGGAAAAGGGACTTCGATGTAAAAAAACTCAATAATTGAAAATGTGTGCAAATCTAAAAAAAAAGGGGTCTGTGAGTATGTTATCACAACATCAATTTGTCGTCTGCGTGTGTTTTCACTACCTCTATCAGGAATAATTATCTCAGGTATCGGGGTCTTGCTCTGACGAATGGTTACACCCATTAAAACAACTCTATTTCCGCTCAATCCAGAAGGACGTACGGCTTTTTTGGCTGTTGCGCAGCCCATAATTAAAATCGAAAATATTGATCAGTAAACACTTATTAACTGAACTGATAAACAATTCGTGAATACAATTGTACATTGGACAAATACAAATGCAAAAGTTTTGGTTTGCAGGACAATATCAATTTTATCGCCAGACAATATTAATTATTTCAAAGGCCTATTACACTTTATAAAATATATACATATTAAACTTTAAATATTACAAGTCAACTATCAATCTTCTGAATAAAATTATACATTGGCAATGAGAAAAATTATGAAAATTATATACCTGAGCTTTCCACAGACCGACTTTCGCGCCTTCGTCCTTCACGTTCATATTCTTTCGCCCTTGATTCAAACTCTTTCCTTCGTACTGATACATGGGGTACAGCTTTCTCCCAGCTTAACCTTAAATATAACAAATATATAAATACCAATTATTTAATTTAAATTAGAAAAAAATAAATATACTCTAAAATAGGTATATAAACAATTACCTGCTCAATTCACTTCTATATAAACTCGTGCGATCTTCTGGAATACCTTCTGGAGACAAAGGTCGGCCTGACTCAAATTGACGGGATAATGTAGATACTGTTTGGAGTCCGATGAAGGCACTGAAAATTCAATGAAAGTATGGGTTTCTTAAA